AATATACCTGAACTGCTTGTTGTAGGAAATACAGCTGAAGTGTGTAATGGCACTGTGCAGTCAAGGTCAAATGGGTATCTGGCTCATCTTCCAAGCCTGATAGTGAATATATGAACAGTAAGGATTTGCGGGAAGTGGAAACTATTGTATTATAAAGTGGACTGAAGCCACCAGTAGAAAAAACAACATTTTCACAATGTAGCATCCTAGCTACTGACTTACTGTTATCAGAAGAGGCTTTGACAAATAAATCCTAGCATCACCTGGGAACATCTGACTTCTTAAAGCCCCTTCTGTCTGGCTTTCAGTGCAGAAAGCAAGTTGGTTTCACTGATTGGTTGACAAATGTTCTGTCTAGCAGGAGACAGAGATGATGTGGTTCATTTTTAGTGCTTTAGATCTGTCAACAGCTGAGGACTCATTGTTCATGAGAGGTTTTTGACTCATCTGAAGTCCCTGACAAAGGTGGCTGGAATCTTGCCTTAGTGGTTCTGCTCTTCAATCACACAGAAACAGATGCTGACATTCAGCCGAGTCCTATCCACCCAGAGGGCTGTCACAGATTTCCCACGGCTCCAGATTTTCTTGATGCTTTCTGCTTGTTCCATGTCACTGCAAGGGTTTGGGAGGAGTGCCATCCAGAACCCTGTCAGTGACAATGGGACAGGTCCAAGCATAGCTGACACACAGCTCTGTCTTCCTGAATGTGTAGTGCGCTCACAATGAGTGGGAGAGGAAAGGTGAATGCTACAAGGGGAGAGAAGGCAAAGAAACTAGGCCTCAGAGGGGCTGTGGGGTCTTCTGTGCTGTAGCTGGACACTGTGGGAGCTGGCAAACTTTGTTTGCTCCCCACAGCCTTCAGAATACAGCCACTTGGCTAGTCCTCTGTGTGCAGATTCCCTGGCAGGCATGCCTTGGTGGGCCAAACCTCTGGGAGATGTGTTGTAGGCAAGCTTTAAGAGAAGAAGGGCAGAGAAACTTAGGACTAGACTTTTTCAAGAATTGTGCTTTCTAGGAGCCAGTCCTTTTCCCCCCCTGCCGTAGGGTGGCATTTGCAAACAGTGTTCGTAATGCCAGGCAGCAAGCACTTTTGCAGTCTCCCCTCACTGCAGAAGCCTGCCCTCAATGCAGCCTTCATGTCAAAAGTCAGTGTCAAGGCCCCCAGATAGCCTAGACTGTCTTACAGCATGGCTTATCTTTAGAAGGGAGACTATAAGAAGAAAAGTTAATCCCAGCATCTTAATCCAAGAGTCCTGGAGAGAGCTTCTTCAACAAAGTATGTGCTTGAGGTCATGATAGACACTTGACCACTGGTGCCTGACTGCCATGGTAGAGGAGAGTAGCCAGAGTCCTAAAAAAAATGGAACATCAACATTCCTTCAGTACCTCTGTATACTAGTAAACCTTTTGTTTTCATGGTCTCATTAAATTTTTCCTCAGTCCTCTTCACATTTAATTTATTGGGGTTTCATTTGCATCAATATGTGATATTTTTAAATGGTCTGGGATGTCCAGCTGAATACTAATTGAAAGGATATCAAATTAAAAAATTTTAAATGAACAATGAAAAAACCCCAAATCTGGTCCCTCTTACTCAAAGACAGTGCTCTGAATTCAGCGTGTAGCGTGATGTTGGTAAGGTATTATGTACCACTCTGCTGTCAATATGAGGTCAATCATTCTGCAAACAACGAGCACTGTGAGTTCTCACTCAGAAGTACGGTGAAGGCAGGGTGAGAATCCTGCCAAGTCCCTCCAGCTTCTAGGAGGAAGGTCTTACAGGTCTGCAGTCACAGCAAGGAAGAAATGGACCACTTGAGAGGGTTGAGCGGGAAACACACACATTTCAAAATACCTTGATACAGCTTTGAGTGCTGTTCCAAGCACTATTCACTGACATACTGGGTGTCTGAGTAGGTGACTTCCCCCTGGCAGGATGACTCCCCCAGCAGAAGTGTGTTTGTGTCCCAGGCTCAGGTGGGGGATAGGGAAGGAGCTGGGGACTCTCGAAGACTTACTTCAGTGCTTTTTTCCTTGCTTATTTTACTTTGCAAAATGACGTGTGTTCACAGGCATGTACAGTGGTTCCAGCGCTAACCAAAATGGTCCCTCACCAGGTATATTGCCGCCTCCTCATGACGTCTCTTCAAGGCACCATCCACTCGACTCTACCCTTTCCAGTCCACATCACCATCAGTCACCGCTGGAGAGTACCAGGGAAGGGTATGTGTATGAAACATGCTTGGCCTCTGTCTGGCATGATAATGAATGATTAATTGTTTACTTTACTTTGCATGGATGCTGTTCAAATGAAAAACACTGTCTCAAACTAAGCAATTTTGTTTGTTTTAGAATCACAGAATAATTTTGAAGGGACCTCAGAAGGTCCTGTCATCCACCCCCTGTGCAAAGCAGAGCAAACTTTGACATTACTATCAGGTTGCTCTGAGCCTTGTCCTTGTCTTCAACAAAACACATTGAGATTTTTTTTCTTCGTAGAATGCAATTGCATTTAGATTTTAGTTGTTTGGGTTTTTTTTTAATTCTTCCTTGTTGACTTCTTATATGTTTGGATAAGTGTAAAGAACTTTTCTCAGCTAAAATGAGAGATCTCTGAAAGGGTAAAACCCAAACTATGACTCACTGAGGAATAAGTCAGTGTTTGCCTTAGTAAGACTTCTTTTGTGCCAGAGCGGCAGGCTTTCTCACTTCCTTGCTCTCTGATAAGATTTTCTGTAATACATCTCTCAGCAGCAGGCATTAACCAGTAAGCTTCTAATCAGGGAAGGGTATATTATCTCATTGATTGTATAGATTGCATTGCTACAGTACAGATTGCATTGCATTGCTACAGTATCTGATATTCCTAAAGCACCGTTTGCTCAAGGATCTCATAACGTCTTCTCAACAGTAAAGAATCTCTGTAAGCCACAAAATTCTGCTCTAATCTTTTTGCTCAGTTTTTCTGGGGGGCCTAGCCTCATGCAAATTAAACATCAAACTTACGGTTTTTCTTCCCAGCACTTTGGACAGGGAGGGGCCTCTAATTTTGCTTTACTGATGGGAACTTGGGATACAGAGAGATTAAGATCTTTTTTTCCCAAAAATATGTTGGGGTTCTTTAGCAAATACAGCAATTGAACGTAGAGTTTTCCCATCCTAGTCCAGTGACTGACCCATGCCTTCTTTTACATGGGGACAGGAAAGTCCAGAAAGTTTTTAATTGTATGCTTCAGGCAAAGGGCAGAAGGCAGTGTTTGTGGCATGGAAGGGGCACGGTAAGGAAAATTACACTTGGAGTAGCTGAAGAACAATCTGATTGAGGAAATTCAATTAGGAACAAATTACTTCATTTTTTTTCTTAATTGGGGAATGAATGCTCTAGCAAGCTTAGCTTCTATACCCTGTTCCTCCTTCCACTATCTCTTCTGACCTATGCCAGTAGCAGATACCAGTGTCCCCTCCCAACATATGATGGATCTGCCCATCATAGGAATAGACCTACCCTGTCCCTGTCACATAAGATGCCTGTGCCCAGCCCTTCTCCTTGTATTGCCTGTTGGCAGATGCATGCCCATGGCGGAGCCGTGGCCAACAGGAGGCATTGGGCATGCTGATTTAGGTGGAAGTTATACCAGATAAAGAGGAAGTTTTCTGTAGCAGAGAAGGCAGTGAGTGCACATAGGAGGAATGGAGACAGACAGTCCGAAGTGAAGGTAATCCACGAGCTATTCTTTCCCTGCAGAATGGGACTACTTGAGCCTGGGGGTGTAGGCTCCCTTGCTCTCACTGCTCCCCAGTGCGCTGCTCAGCTGTTTCCTCTTTGAGCTGGTGCCTAAGGGAGTTAAGGCAAAAAACCCCAACTGAGAATGAAATAAAGTAAGGCTATACTATGGGAAGGATTTAACAGGCTGTCAGTAAGGTGAATTTGTTTCTGAGGCACTTCACATTCTGGTACTGTTAATAAGAAATGAAAGCAAAGACTTGATCAGTGAGGGCAACAGACAGTTTTCCAGTTTGAGGGGTCTGAAGCTCCCAGATGAATTCTTGTTGCTGTGCCTTATGTCTCCATTCCAGAGCACAGCACTTCTTTTCCAGCAGAAACACCATGCTGGGTGAGCCGAGTTTCCCACTGAACTCCTTCTAGAGACATTTTGATCAGTTGCTTAGGCCAAAGTTTACATCGCAGCTGTCTCTGCTGTTCTCAGTTCTAGTGGAATAGGTATTCTTTCTCAGAGGAGACTAAATGCTGCTTTGTTATCTCAGTGCTTATATACCTAAGTAATGTAAGGTCTCTGCAGAAACACCATAGTTAATATCCTATGACAGAATGTAAGAGCGAGATGGTAACAGATTTCTAACCATGAACCAAACATCAGGAAATGGAGAGTGGAATGTATTTTTGAGTAGTTATTTTAAAACAGGGTATCTAGTTTCATGACATAATTACTTGGAATTTTTCAGCATCTCAAATACCATTTTCTAAACTCAAAAAAATCTGCATTCAGCATTGTCATACCCAGTCCAAGATCCTTTTGCTGGTTTTAATTGTTCATGCTTACGTTATTAATGACTGCTGAAATAAAGCCCATGCATGACATTTTAATTGCAAGTACAGAAACTTAGTATGAACTAATAGTCCTTGAATTTCGTTTAGCATACTTTCGTTTAAAGCATTCAGCCATTTAACTGGGCAAAATCACTTAATAATCTAATGCTTGGAGCCACTGAATTATAGAACTGTTACACCTTTGCCAGTTCATAGCAGTATGCCATACTCCTATAAAAATATATGGTTTACAATAGGAAAGAAACACCTAACACTACCTTTCTTCATATTAACTGCTCCGGCTTTCTGGCACACATATAACGTTTTGCCTCATTTGTCAGCTGTCTCAGCGTTCATGTTTAAGTAAATGCAAAGAATTTCTATACTGTGAATCAGTACGATGACAAGACTGGACTACATAGTTTTAAGTCTGGAATGAACCAAGTGATTACTATCAAGAAATCTAATTACTGAGTCATCAAATACAGGAGATGCCAAAAACTACATGAGGTGGAGTACAAATAGTCTACTCAAGTTTGACATAAGTTTCAGAATTTGATTTAAAGGCTTTTCTTTTTTTTTTTTTAAGCCCTATGTTATACCATCCTTTGCCAAAGTCAATACCAAGTGCAGCAGTCAATTTTCCCAAATGGTTTGCTAAGACGTTTAAATAGTTTGACAAAATTATCTAATTCACTTGAAAATTTTCTAACAAAATCTGACTTCATTACCAAATTTATTTATACTGGCTTTATACAATATGGAGCGTATTTTTTCAAATTCTGGTATGAAGGGTATGCTAGAGCAAAAAATTGTACTTCTATTGATATTAATTAAACTAAAAGTGTGTGATTGAGAAATATTTTGGCATCCAGAAAGTGGGCTTGTCGTGATCCAGGTTTAAATATGTATTTATTTTTTATTTCAGGTAGCTAAGATTTATTTTAGCATTTCTTGCAGCGTATGCCATATATAATGTCTAACTTGGTTTCATTTTGCCTATTGCAAAAATAGTCTATTTTGATTTGTAGGAGAATGGAGATGGAAAAACAGCTCTTAGTATTAAATTTTAAGTGAATGTTGCACTTGGCTTGCTTTCTACTATTTTTTTAGCTGTTATTATCTAAGTAATCTAAAAATGTACTTAGTTTCATTTGTAAACTATCTCTCTAAATTCCAGTTTAGAATATTTAGTGTGATAAATTATCAGCTTAAATGAAACTGATATGACTAAAGTTAAGTGAGTTTGAGTGGTGGCACCAAGTTAGGGATTTGCACTAATTTAGCTTAATGACCTAACAAGGTCACTTTGTAGGATCTGAACACGGTCCCTCTATATGTGCCTGTGAAGCCCTCTGTCACTTGTGTCGCCCATAACAAACAGCACTTATGTTCTCAAAAGAAGCTGGGAGTACTGACAAATAACAGCTTTATTAGGAAGGTGATGTGTCTCCAAGGGAAAGGAAAGTGAAACTATTTTTTTATATTCCTGTGGTAATTTAGGTCATTTCTGCTCTGTAAACACAACAGTAAATGAAGAACTAGTGGGGTTAAGACATCTGTGATGTCCATAGGTGATGATTAATGAGAATTCTGAATCCAATCTTGTGAGCCTTTAATATAAAGGATTAAGTAATCAAGGTTAGAGGAAGTACCTTACACAACTCTCTTTTGCTGGGGCTTCTCACCAGCTAACTGCAACCCTTTCAAAAGATATTCCAGACCCCCCTGAAGAGCCACTTACCCATACAAAAATCACAAGAAGCAGGACTTAGAAACAAATGAAAAGAGACATTTTAATCAGGCTGCTTAAACATCAGAATTTTTGTTTGCTTGCTTCTTAGCACCTGTTAATTCAAATACCACAGAAATACTGTAAAGAGTTCTCTGTTAAAAATTTAGTCCTTCATTTCTCTTTATGTAAAGTAAAACAAGGTACACAGAGCCTCCCTTCTTGCTCAATCAGGGAACACCAGATTTGAAATTCCCGATATTTTTAAGGTTGAAAACAAATATGCAGGATAAAATCTTGTGTGTTAGATTTTTATTTGTACTACTACCATGTTATACTTTGGCAATAAGAGACTGTAAGGCAGCTCCTACCTATGCTTCAGCCCTGTTACATACATTGCCAGGACCCTGTCAGGTGCCTCCATTTCAAAGAAGAACCTGGTCCAGCCCCCCAAGCTGCATGCAGTGAGCTGTGGAGCCGGGAAAAAGCTCCCACCAACAACCCTGCATCTCTGCTCTGTGGGAGTGGTTTTGGCTTCAGCTTTGTTGGTAGATGGCAATGGCATACAAACGGTTTGGTGGGTGCTTGCTCATCACATGGAACCAGACTCAAACTGTGGCTGTCAGAGTTTCACTGTTGTTTGCAAGCATCTAGTTTTCTGGAGCATAACTGTTTCTGGGATAAGATTCGAGAAATTGCCCTAAAACCAGCAAAAGAAATGGGGGAGATTCTTCTCAATATGTTATGCTATCTCCCTGAACTGCCAGCATCCAGGCCAGGTAGGAAAATACATTTGTGTACCTAATTCTTATTACTTCGAGAGACAATTAGGTGTCTTAACTACTTATGTCTAATTTTTATTCATCTTTGTGAGCTCACATAAAGTTAAATTGACTAGGAACTGGCATGTTGCTAGAATCTTTGTAGGAAAGCAAACTTTTA